CGCGCCCCGACCCGACGGCGGCTCCTCCGAGGGCTGCGCCTGCCCGTCCTGGCGCGGGGCGGAGAGGCAGCCATGTTGCACGACATGAAAACTTCCTCACGGCGATACCGCAGGACTGAGGTGATGGCCAAGCCCATAGGGTTCCCTCAGAGCCCGAGGCCTGGCCGTCCACCCAGGGGGACCTTGCGCGACAGTGGGTTCAGAACCAGCCTGAAAAGACGGGGAAATGAACCAGATGTGAGTGTGGAGGGGAGCCCTAGGAGGGTGGGTGTTTGTGCCCCTCCCGAGGGGCTGAGAAGGCTCCTGACGGACCAAATGGCAATTCCCAGAAGTACACTCGAGCCACAAGCCTCCGTGGAAGCGCGGAACGCGCGGCCCCCTGCGGCCCAGTGCATGTCTTGACCGTCACTGGGAATTACTTCGGTGGATGTGGGCTCTGCTGTCGAGCTGGGAGGGAGGAATTCAGCTCTCCTAATACCAGCCTAATTATTGAAAGCAGATGTCCTCTAAAATTTGACTGATAGCCAGTAAGTTGGTACAGCAGGTCTATTCATTTTATTGCTTGGAGACAGGGGTACAGCTGGCAACTGGTTCATCCTGTCAGGTTCATCTGAAAACTCAAAATGGCCATGGTGAGCAACTGGCAACTTCAAACGTTTGCAAATTTTCCGAGCACAAGTAATCCCCATCATGTCCCATACTGTAGAACTTAGGAGTCTTGGCCAGATTTTTTTTTTTCTGGAGAAATACATAACTATTGTCCAGAACAAGGGTCTGGAATAGCCTACAAGAATTTTCTGTGCCTCTTCGCCCAATCCTGCCCCCATCCAAGCATAAGTGTTGGTGCTGCTATGTCCAACATAAGGAGATAAACTCTACCATCTGCTCATTCACCAGTGAGGTGTATGGATCTGCCTTTAATCAGCAGCTGAGAGTGAAGCCTTACATTCCAGATCCTTATCAAGAAACAACTTTGAACTGTCCACTTCTTAATGCCCATCGAAAGCCTGGTTGAGAGAAACTGCAGTTATGGAGAATTGTTTGAAAGGCACACAGATGACCCCTCATCTATATACAGTGTCTGGGTCAATGAGTCCTAAGCCTGGCTGCATATCAGAGGCATCTGGGGAGTTCTGTTTGTCTTGCTTTCTTTTGCGTTGAAATGCAGGTTCACAGGTTACACTTCCAGAAATTCTAATAGATTCCATTAAACCATTTTTAAATGGTTTTCAAGCGAGTTTCGTACAAAGCCATGTTGGAAACCACTGGTCTACGTTTTATTCTGAATTAAGCCAGACTGTCAAAAAGCTGTGTTTGTACCACTTTGCCTTCACCCTTGTAAAATGCCTGTCATGCTTTACACTTATGCCATATGTTTACCCTTAACACATATAAGAGATTGTTTAAAAAAACAAAATTCTATATTTACTAAAGGGATTAAGAATGATGCTTATTATATCTCTGTAGTAGAATCCTACCAGATTGCCCAGCCCAGGATTTTTCAAACTTTTGGACCATAATCCACCAAAAGAAATATGTTTTACATTATGACCCAGTACACATGTACCTATACATTTAATAACTGAAACAAGTTTTATGAAATATTTACCCATCCCACATGCTATGCGTGCTAATACTTATCTCTTTTTAATACTGGCTTCCACCTTTTAAATGGTTTTTTGACCCCTAGATGAATTATAAGTTGCCTTTAAAAAACAATAGTATAGTCAGGTGTCTTTTTCTGGAAACTAGCCCTGGTTCCTCAGATAGGTTAACTAGGCCACCTGGCTATAGTGGATTGCTCCAATAGTAGGTATCTGACTCAAGCCAAGGCGATCATATCCCTCTCCCAGGAATCTGGAATTAAGACTGAGAGATTTCCATTTTTCTTTAGGTAGCTAACGTATTTTCATAGAACACTGCAGCATAGACAGTCAGGAGCTGTCCACAAACATGTTTGCCTACCAGGTGGCCTGTAGAAATGCAGAAAGCCAATCTGCAGGAGAAATGTGAAAAGAACAGGAAGGACCAACAAAGAGGAGAGAAGAGACAGAGTTCTGACAGCTTGCCATCCCTGATCATAATATTTCCTGAAATGAGCTGCATTCCTGTCTTTGAATTCCATGCATTATAAAGATTTCAAATCTTTATAATAAAGTGCCCTCGCTTGCTTAAGCTAGTTCAAGTGACCGAGTTACTGTTATTGCAACCAAAATGAATTTAACTATATTGATTTTATATGGCTGTCATAACAAAGTACCATAAATTTGGTGACTGATATAATCACTCTATGTCCCTTACAGGAAAATCCATGCAAGAAATGTATTGCAATCCTGAGTGCCAGAAAAAAAATCTTTTTCCTTTTGAAACACTGACACCTCCTTTCCTTAAGAAAAAAAGCAAACCATGAAATTCATCACATTTCCCTTTTCACCTTGGTTTCCAGGAAGAAAGGAACCAAATTGCAGCTCAACTTTAATAACTTTGTCGAATTCTATGACCTGCATACAGGCATTACAACTTTCTCCTGTTCTCACTCTTCCATTTTCCCTCTCATTTCTACTTTTATCTTTTTGTATTTTTGTTCCATTGTGTATTTTAAACTGCTTCAAATATTTTGCCCTTACTGCTTCCCCTGCCTGTAAGGCTCTGCCCCTATACCTCCACAAGGCTGGTTCTTTTTCATCATTCAGATTTCAGCTCACTTGCCACCTCCTCAGAGAAGCCTTCCCTGATCACTGTATCTAATGTAGTCCCACCCCACAGTCTATCACAGTACCCTACTTTGTTGTCTTAGAGTACTTAAAACCATCCAAAACAATCTTATTTTCTTTCTTCCCTCACTGGAAGTTAAACTCCAAGTCAGTAGAGACCCAGTGTGTTTATTGCTTGTTCTCAGTGCCTGAGACAGTGTCTGGCACTTAGTGGCTATTTAATAAAAATCATGGCATTAGTAAATGAAAGAATGAATGGAAGAAAGGAAGGGAGGTAGAGAGGGAGGGAGTAAAGGAAAGAAAGGGGGAAGGAGGGAGGAAGGGAGACTGTAGAACATGATGAGATATAGATGGATAGATAAATGGGTAATAGGTAGAATGTCACCAACATTTGTAAAGAGAAGTCAGAAAAACTATACAAAGAGATAAAACACAAATCCCTAAAATATGTACATAGAGGTAGTGGATTTTCTTGGGGAACCCTTGATGTAAAAGCCTTAGACAAATCATTGTTTTAAGTTTTCAGGTGGCTCAAGTATTCAATATTATGGCCAGCTACCATAGCTGAAGCCATCAATTCTCAGCGAGATAATGGGTTGCAACATCATGACCACCACCATGACAAACCCTTGATACTGCCAAGGGAACTCAATCTATTGCAGGGGTCATTACCACACAACAGTCTGCTGTCACTCTACTCCTGTAATATTAATGTCACCACTGGCAACAAGTGTTATATGCTGTTGACTTAAACACTCCACAGTAATGTCATTGTTACAAGGCAATATCAAGTTGCTTGACATTTAAGGAAGAGAGATCAGAATTGAAATTTGTCAATATAACAAAACATAGAAGCAATTAGTACAGTTTGTTCCACGGTTTATTGACCCTGTTGGTAAAAATACCAAAGTCTGTAGGTGGGGAAGAAATGGATCTCAGTTTTTTAAGTCCAGAAGCAGTTGACTTATGCATTAATATAAATTTAATTCTGTTATTCAAAAGATTTTTAAGAGACTCCACAAAAAAAAAACCCATAAATTTCCTGTTCTATAAGATAAATTCAGAGATGTTCAAATCACGAGTTATATTAAGATTCCGTAAATGGGGACATCTTTGAAAAGTATATAATGCAAAATGTAAGTTTTTCCTAATGAAATCTGTCTATGATTACCGGTAGGCTTTACCAATTTATGCAAATCTTCCTACTTTTCTCCTACCTTGACAAAAGTAAAACTGTACATTACACCCATAGTTCAAAATGAAATAAACATTTGGCAACTCAGTTTGTCTGATTAACTATAATAGTCTGACCCATCCTTGTTGT